GCCCCCCGCGCTGCCCCTCTCCCCACGCTGCCCCTCTGCCCACCGCCCCCCGCGCTGCCCCTGTGCCCACCGCCCTCCTAGTGCTGCCCCTCTCCTCACCGCCCCCCGCGCTGCCCCTCTCCCCGCGCTGCCCTGCGGCGCAGGGCGCAGGACGCGGCTGCCCCATGGCGGGCCCGCAGGGGGCGCCCGCCACCCGCCAACGCCGCTCGGGCACCGGCACCAGGGCCGCGCGGAGACGGTCACGGTCCCATCCCTGGCCCCATCCCCGGTCCCATCCCTGGCCCCATCCCCGGTCCCATCCCCAGCCCCATCCCCGGTGCCGGCCCCGTGGCGCAGGACAGGCGCGGGTGCCGGCGCGGCCCCTGCGCAGGGGGCCCGCGCGTGCGGCGGGGCAGCGCGTTCATTACGGGTCTGGGGGAGAACGGAGCGAACGCGCCCGTTTTCCACCAGAAACGCTAATCCCGGGAAATGCAAAGTTAGACGCCGTGGTGTCAGCGGTGTGCGGGCAGCCGCTGCCCGCGGGCCCGCGCCGTAGCGCCGCGCACTCGCACTGCGTTTCCCTGCCTTGCCTTGGCACCCTGATCACGTCTGGCCTCAGAGCAACACGCGGGGTCCCCGCCTGCGGATTTATGTGCGACCCGTTCGCACGCACCGCGGGCGAGGACACGTCTCCTTTGTTTGCCGGCTTCTGCGCGGCCCGTGCGAAAACGCCGCGGGCTCCACGAGCTCGACCTAGCCGCGCGGGGCTGCCCGGCTTGGGACGGGGCACACGGATGCGCCCTCCGCCCCGGGATGCACGGGAATGGCTGCTCCGCGCTGAGGCAGCGACGCTGAAGCGTGGAGCGGCAGCCCGCGCTCCTCGGGTGCCGGCAGGATAGTCGGGAGGGCGGAATGGTGCCGGGAGCCCAGCGGAGGTGCCGCGAGGGGGGGTTGTGCGGGGCGGCGATGGAGAGCGGGGTTTAGGCGCCCCGCACCTCCCGCCCTGTCGTTTGCATCACCCTGTACTGCAGCCATGCCAAGGGCTGGCAAGGAGCTCCCTGCTGCATCCATTTCTGAGGGGATAAATCAGCCACTTGCTTTGAGGAAGAAGGTTTAGTAGAGGTGGCTGTGCCATCCAGAGGATTTGAAATAGGTAAGGATCGGTAGCCGGATGCACACAGTCTGTGAAAAGAAATGATAATTAAGAGGGAAAAGTCAGTAAGGAATAAAGCATGTAGAATTTTGCTGATAAGAGATTGCTTTATTGCGCCCTTGACTGCAAGTTAAATTAATACACGTAAATTACAACGTGGAAAAGAGATGCCAGTGACTGTCACAGGCCCAGCTCACTTTTCTCCCACCATTATTTAGGAAGAATTTGGAATATGTGTACAATATGTTCATTAAAGCCTTCAATAGCCAACTAGCCAATAACTGCAGTGGAAGCAACAAGGTTTCCTCTCRTCCCCCCTCTCCCTCCTCCTCCGCCCCTTTTCAAGAATAAAAATGGGGCCGGGGGGGGGGGGAAGGCAAATGTCAGCCGAGAAATACCGCAAAATCAAGCGGTCGGTGCCCGGGGCTGCGGCGCCTCGGGGGCGCCCGGGCGGGCGCTGCGGCGGCGCGGAGCCCGAGCCGCTTCCCTTCCCTGCCTTCCCTCGCCAAACTGTCAGGCACGGAGCGGGCAGGAGGATATTGGCTGCGAGAGCCTCGGAGGCTCCTCCCCGAGCCCGGCTCCTGATATTTTTGGAGGATTTCTTTTAACTCAGTTGCAAACCTGGGCGAAGGGCCGCGAGTTGCGGCGGCGGGGAGCGGGCGCAGCGGCGGGAGCGCGGCGCCTGCTCCGGCTGCCCCCGCGCCTCCCTGCGCCCGGGGCCGCGGCCGGGAGGGCGCTGTGGGGCGAGCGCAATGAGGGAGAGGCGCCGGGAAGGCAGCCCCGAGCCCTAGCGCTTCTCCCGCAGCGCGGCGGAGCGGAGCGGGGCTGAGCGGGACGAGGAGGAGGCGGGCGGCCGCATCCCCGCGCGCCGCTGCCCGCGGGGYTTGGCCGGCGGCGCCCCTTCCCCTCTGGATGTAGCCGGGGGAGCGCGCGAGCCTCTCCCGCTCGCCCGGCCACCATGAATTCCGTGGCTGCGAATAAGGAGCGAGTCGCCGTGAGCGCGCGGAGCAGGAAATGTGGGGTAAGTTGCGCGCGGAGGGCTCCGCGCCCCTCCCCCGCCGCCAACGGCCGCCAACGGCCACCAACGGCCAGGGTGCCGCGGCGCGCGATACCCCCCCCCCACGCGCAACTTTTGCGTGCGCGGTGGGTGCGCGGCGGAGCGCGGGGCGTCCGGTCGCGGGCTGCGGCGCTGACGCTGCCTCCTCCTTGTCCCGCTGCAGGTGAGCGAGCCCTGCTCCCCCACGAAGCCCGGCGCGCCCTTCTCGGCCGAGAGCTGGTACCGCAGGGCGTACGAGGAGTCGCGGGCCGGGAGCCGCCCGGCGCCGGAGGGAGCCGGCTCTGCGCTCGGCTCCTCGGGCACCCCCTCGCCCGGCTCCGGCACCTCGTCGCCGGGCTCCTTCACGGGCTCGCCGGGGCCCGCCTCGCCCGGCATCGGCACCAGCTCGCCCGGCTCGCTGGGCGGCTCGCCGGGCTTCGGCACCGGCTCGCCGGGCTCCGGCAGCGGCGGCGGCTCCTCGCCGGGCTCCGACCGCGGCGCCTGGTGCGAGCTGTGCAGCGCCCGCCTGGCGGAGCTCAAGAGGCAGGCGCTCAAGCTGCTCATCCCCGCGCCCGCCGCCACCAAGGTGAGCGCGCCGCGCCCGCCGCGCCGGCCCCGCCGCGCCGGCCCCGCTGCTGCCCCGCGCGGCTCCTGCCCCGCCGCCCCGCGCCGCCCGCGGTTCGCGGCTCCCTTGGGGGGCCGGGTGGGACAGCGACCCGCGCCTAGCTCCCGTGTCCAGAAGCGCGGGAATACAGCGGGAGCTCTCCCATCACTGGGGAAGGCTGCGGCAGACCGTGGCATTGAACCCAGCTCTCCGGGGGCGCATTAACTTAAGGACAACTTGGTGCAGAGAAGCAGCTAGATTTTTCTCTTTTTCTTTTTTCCTTTTTTTTTTTTTTTTTTTTTTTTTTTTTAACTTAGAAGTACCCAGAGTGTTGCACCAAAAAACACAGTGCCTAAGAGCAACCCAAACAGAAAGCAAGCATTTCTGAAATGCRGCCCCAGGTTTTGGGAGCTGTGACTGCTTGTGGGAACAAGGGGGAAGTCTCTCCCTTGCCAGTCTGGTGCCTCTAAAGGCATATTCTGAAATTCCCTGGCTCTGTGTTGGTTTCCTTGTTTATGTACCGCGTATAAGGACTAACAGCCACACAAAGTGATGTGAGCTCGCGGCTCAAGCGGCGCTGCGGCCGCCTTGCGAGCGGGCTTAGAGCTCCCCGAAGGGAACACAATGCGGTGCTGTTTGCCCTGTTGGGTCAGGTACTATCAAAGGGTAATATTTACCCTTCCACTTCAAAGGGGTTTCATTAGTGGTTAGGATAAGGAGGTATCGTGGAAAAGAGCTGATGGCTGTGGAAGGGTCTTGGTGTTGCTGTTGTGTTGTGTCCACCGGTGTTTATTTACGTGGCGTTGGTGCTGTCTTGAACAAAAGCCTAAAGGGCTGCTTGTAATCTTGTCTCAAGAGCTGCCTTAACTGCATAATTCATGAAAAGGGAAGGAGGGGGTGGAACCAACAATTAATGCACTTAAATTGACTATTAATATGTAGTGGATCCCTTGGAAAGTCATCCTGTATCAAAAGGTTTGCAGATTGCAGGCTGTGTGATTCAGCCCTGGGTATGGGTGAGAAATTGCTAGTGCAGATATGGGGACCATAAGAATAACTGAGAATAAAATGTAAGCAGCCAGGCTTTCTGTCTCTCACAGACTGTTCGATAGCAAACAGAGGACAGATTTTGCAGGGATGCAAGCATTTCTACAGGATTCCTGTATTATAATAATAGCAGTTATTGCCTGTCGTTGCCTTCCACAGGTGTTACCCTCATGGTGCTTCTGTCACTTGKCTTGATCTCTTGTCACTCAGGCTAGCTGATGCTGTTGTGCAGCCCACCTTGTGCACTCCATATTACGTCAGCAGTAAGCCATACTTCCCAGTTTTACCCTGTTCACCCTTTTCTAAAGTTTCCTAACCTTCAGCTTATGAAGGAGAGTCTTTTACAAAGCTATTGCTACCCAATGCGCAGATATGGATTTAGAGAGGAGGCAGAAGAGGCAGAAATAAGGGAGTCTGATGGCTGTGGCAATCCCCTACTCCATTAGCTCTGCTCAGTAGCACTTGCATTTTCAGCCCTGTTGGGGTGCTCCCGCCTTTTGCACGGATTGATGCTCCTCCCATGCACACATTGGTACCAGGATATTTGCAGAAACGTCCCTTGCATCCTCTCTGTCTTACAACCGTTAGGAACTTTTGGGGCCAGTGATTTCTTCCTCCATCAGACACTGCCCAGCACAGTGAAGCTTTGGTTTAAGTGAYCTAGGATATGAGTGTCATGGCTAGTGGCTTTGACTTCTTGGGACCACATGTGATGTGCCAGCGTTGCAAGCCCTTGGTTGCTGGTACCCGCTGAGTTGACAGACACACTTATCAGGCTCTGCTCGGTGGAAAGCAGGGCGCTGGTGTTTGCCCTGCCACGCAGCCAGGGTCTGCATCCTGCTCAGAGATGTGCTGAGGTTGCCCTCTGCGAGAGAGGGCTACAGGGTCTCTTGGAAAAGTGCAGGAAGTGCCACGGATCTAGGCAAAATTTGCTCTTGGTTTGGACTGAGGCTGGAGTCAGTCATGCTCTGCTGGAGTAGCTGGCCTTGTTTAGGGACTGGTGAAATATATTCTTTATTTGTTCTGTGGGAATAGGTTTTATGGGAGCRGGGTTTATCCAGCCTCTTATTTCAGTGGATGAAATTCCTGGTCCTGGGTATTTCTCCAGGATTTACTAAGCATCTTATAGCTCAAGACTGTAGTGCCCAGTAAGGACACAGGTAATTGGTAATACACCTTTATTAGATCCATTAAATGAAGCACTTAAAATGCATCAGTTGCCCTTTACACATCCAGCTGGCTTTAGAGATGTTTCTTGTTGGAGCTGTTGAAGGCAGCCTAGAAATTTCATAAGCACTGTTGCCAGTGACACCTATTTCACGTTTGTTTTGTATTTAGAAATGCTTGTAGCTATGGGTATTGTGTGTTGCAAAACAAACAGAGTCCGAGAGCATCTGTGTTTTGACAGGGATCTAGCAGAGGATATTGGAATCTGCAGTGTATGAATGTGAACCTGCACTAACCGTTTTTACTGTGTGCAGCCATATGAAGGTGTGTGTGTATCTGGAAGGTGGAATAGCACAGGGATTGCTGCATACTCAGGCCAAGCCTTCTACATGAAGCGAGGCACTGGAGCTTGTCAGTGGTGCAGAAAAAGCAACGCTTAGCCTGGCGCAGACTGCCCCGGCCAGCTCATTGTTGGTGCTGAGGTGTTGGGCTTTGGGCTTTAAATAGAAGTATTTTCTTCTAACATGTCAACAGGATGCAGACTTGGGCTTTGAATTTTCCTTGTGAGACACAAAGGTGAGGTTTATGTAATTATAGCTCTACTTTAACCATTTAAAATGATGTATTCTCTGTCACTTCCAAAAGAAGAAAAAAAAGATATGTATTTTTTCCCTTCTTATGAAACAGATGCGAATAAATGATATTCAGCGATTACCTGCATGCAAGGAAGGGGTTATGTGTTTGGAGAGGGACACGTTGTTGTAGCCCCCGTGGGAAGCACAGCGCGCGTGTGGGAAATGCCGGGAGCGGGCGGCTGCGTTAGCTGCGCGCTGCAGTGTAAGGGAGAGTGTTTTACAGCATTCGTCAGCCACCGTGTGCTGAGTTCTTGAACATCAGCATGACAATGAAGACCATCTCAAAAATACTCATGTTGGATATTTGATTCTTTATTTTTAAATGTTAAGCTTTTTCTTGGGCTATGCTTTCAGAAGATGGTAAACATAGATGTTTATGGCATCACACTCCACGTGTATTAAATCTGAGTGAAATCTGGTTGACTTGAGTTCAAACTTGTGATATTCTCTGGCATCAGTGGAACATTAACCTCACAGGCAAGAAAGTGGTTATTAAGTTGAATTGTAAAGTTGCTATATTTATGTGTATTATACAGTGTTAAGTAGTGAGCTGAATATTTATAACAAGAATAATCTCAAGTTTGCTGTTAGGATTGGTTAGTACAGGATTTAAAAAACCATGAATGCAGACTTTCCCCAAAGAGGTAATTTGAATTGGTGGCATTAATAYGCTTTGGCATTTTGTGAATGGGCCAGGAATTAGTGGCACTAATTTAAATTCTAGAGATGGGTGACTCTGGCATTGTTGGGTTGTTTATGTTCCAGGCTATCATCTAGCCAAAAAGTCTTTGCTTCTGTGTATAAAAATTGGGTGAATTCTGGTTTAGCCCAATGCCTCTGTGGATGGGAGAGGGAGGAATGCATTCAGGATGCACTTTCTGTTTCATATTTTTCTAAAATTCTTGTTCATCAAGCATATTGTTGATTTTTTTCTTTTCTATGTCAGAGGTGTTCAGTAGTCAATGACCAATAATAATAAATAACGAAGAAAGCCCTGATGCTGATCTAATGAAAAATAGGCTCCTGTTAGCTTGTAGCTACCTCAGGAGCATTCCCAGTAGAGCCAGGACAGTAATGAACCCTTCCTCAAAGCTTAGTAAGTGGCAGAATAATAGAATTTCATTTCCGTCCAGACCTTTAATTTGTGAACAAGCACGGCCAGTCTGTACGGTGACTTAATTCACTGTGCAAAAATCTCAGGCACCTAATCATTTCATYCCAACTCATTGTAATGCAGATAGGATTATTGCATTAGAAATGTGATTTTAAATGGCCCAAGGCAGTAATTTGTCAGCATTTGGAAGGATTAACTCCATTAAAGTTTAGGCAACAACAACCATTCGTTCGTATTGCATCACAGKTCACAATACCAAACGTTTAGCATAATTCAGCTGTGAAATGTTTTACAATTGTATGTTTTCTGGCAAACTGGGAAACCAGAAGCTATATTGTTTGCCCAGGAATTACAGCTACTTGCAGTGGTCTGGAGCAGACCAAGGGATACCTTGCTGCCGCTGTCCACAGAGTCAACACGTGAAATGATGTACAAATTTCTTTCAAGCTTGTGGATGTCTTTGAGGTGATGGTGAAGACACTGTGTGTTAAAGGCTCCCTTTGAGGAAGCTGTCAAGGCTGTTAGCCTTGCAGAGCTTTCCTGGTGGGATCACAAAGGCTCCCTGTTCCTGAGAGCCCTGGAAATTAGGAACAGGTCTGGGATTATATTCAGTGAATTGATGCTGTAGTGTTTGTCCTGTCCGAACAGTAAATGCTTCCAAGAGACTGTAGACTGCTGAGCTGTTGAGGAAAAAATAATTGAAATTTTCATCTGAAGTTAAGTCTCTAAGGAAGAGCAAAATTTTGATCAAAACTGTTCTTTCCGTGGAGGCTTGGCTGTGCATTTAAGAACACTTACATGCTTGCACAGTCAATACTTACTTTGTAGCTGGCTTCCTCATTGTACAGCTATTATTAATTGTCAAAAATCTTGTAATCTCGTGTAATAGGCTTAGAATTTTGATGTATAATTTTGGAAAGGGGGGGAGCAAGAGGAGGAGGAAGAGGCCAGGTAGCCTGTGCTGAATTCCCCTGACAGTATCAGTGGGAATGTGACACATTACAAATAGGGGCCACGGG